TCTATCTATCTATCTATCTATCTATCTATCTATCTATCTATCTATCTATCATCTATATATCGGATTTGATTGCTTATTGTACCCTATGACTATTATTAAATGTTGCACCTTATGATTCTTGACTCTTGACGAATGTATCTTTTCTTTTTATGTACACCGAGAGCATTTGCACCCAGATAAATTCCTTGTGTGTCCAATCACACTTGGCCAATAAAGAATTCTATTCTATTCTACAACAATTCATTCAGAGACCATTTGAAGTTATAATGGCACTGAAAAAAGTGACATATGAGCCAGCGGTGGGATTCAAATTTTTTTTACTATCAGTTCTGTGGGCGTGGCTTGATGGGTGTGGCATGGCTTGGTGGGCGTGGCTTGGTGGGCGTGGTAGGGGAAGGATACTGCAAAATCTCCATTCCCTCCCCACTCCAGGGGGAAGGTTACCACCGGTTCTCCGAACTACTCAAAATTTCCACTACCAGTTCTTCAGAACTGGGCAGAACCTGCTGGAAACCACCTCTGCATATGATCGTTTTCCACACTTTTGATGGGAACGTAGATAGGGCGGGCTCGAAAAGTCGGCACCCTCCTAAGCATACCGATGGCCTCCGAATCCATTGGTGATGTCCATTTTGCTCTCTGAATTCATGGGCAGCTAACCCTAACCCTAAGTAGGTTTGCCCCCCAGTGGGATTTTCCCATGTATTTTGCAAAAAATCAGCATCCTCCTATACATATGAAGCCATATGGATCTGTTGGGGGGAATTTTAGCCATAACGGCATCCCCTGGTGTTATATTTTCACAATCTTTCCAGGATGCTACTGAGTGTTCAAAGTATAGGTATTCCTTGACTTACAACAGTTTGTTGACTGACCGTTCAAAGTAACAAAGGCACTGAAAATGACTTACGGCCATTTTTTATAACCATTGTAGCATCTCACATGATCAAAATTCAGGTTTTATTTTTTTATTTTATTTGAGGAAATTTATATTGCCACCTATTCGCACAGGATCTAAATAGAAACAGAAATCAACTTTTCCACTTCCCAGCTCTTTTGTCAGCTGAAATGAGTTGTGCAGAGGTGGCATTCAGCCGGTTCTGGAGAACCGGTAGCAGAAATTTTGAGTAGTTCGGAGAACCGGCCAATCCCACCTCTGACTGGCCCCGCCAACCCCATCTATTCTCTGCCTCCCATGGAGTCCCAGCTGATCGGCTGGGTCTTCTTTGGTTGCCTCGCACAGGAGAACGGAGCTGGAAAGCAGGTTAGTAGGGTGAGGAGGGAATGAAGATTTTGCAGTAAACCCTGCCACGCCCACCAAGCCACGCCCACCAAGCCACACCACGCCCACGAAGCCACGCCCACAGAACTGGTCATAAAAAGTTTTGAATCCCACCATTGGAGTTGTGGCATATTAAGGCTTTTGACATGACTAACTAAGAGTTCTGCGTGTTGCCTAAACTGGTTTTGGAAGTCCACCTACCGTCTCCTGGTCAGGCACTCCAGCTGCCAGCAGATACAGGCCCTGAGATTCGTGCCTGTCTTTATCTTTAAAATTCACCTCCACGGCTCTTTTGAGGGCCTTCAGAACATTTCTGGAGCCCCTGCAGCGCAGGCACAGCACCCACCTAGAAAAACAACCAAGGGTCAGCCATGTGCCCTAGGATGGAGAGGGGGTGGGCTTGGGTCTTCCTCTGACTGCTCAGCTGGCCTCTGCCCTTCCCCAGCCTCCTCCACAACCTCTGGAGCCACCTTTCCACTCCCTGTTGGCTGTTCCTCCTCTCCCTCAGAGCCAGTCTCCATGACAAGTTGCCTCTTGAAAAAATCCATCTTTGGGGCAGCCATGAGCTTGGATGACTGAGAATCTCCACAGACATACAGGCGTAGTCCTTTACCTCCAAGCACTCTGTAAGTTGTCCGGATGAGGTGGGACCATTTCAGGTTGCCAAGCCATAACATCACTTCCAAAGCTGCGAAAGAGATATAGACTCAACCAACAACCACGACTTGTTGGAAGAAATAAAATAGTTGTAAGTCAACAATTGCTTTTATACAGTTTTGCAGAAATGAGTAGATCCATCCAAAAGGGTTGGTTTTCCAGGTGAGCAAAATCCAAGGAAAACCGTAACTCGGTCCGTTGTGACTTGTTGCAACCGGAATCTTTAAAAGAACCTCAATTGACACAGAATCTCTGCTCTTCCCACGTAAAGATTAGATTTCTTCAGCAGCTACGATTTCGGTTCCTTTGCAGAATATGAAGATGGCGCCCAGAGGAGGTTAGTTATCTCATCCGAGATCTAAGCCAGCATGGCTCAGATTATGCCAGGTTTGGGAGATCAGTAGATGAGTTTATGAGGTTTAAAAACATTGGGCTTTTTTTTTAAAAAAAGAAGATACTGGACAGTCCCTTGTTTGAAATGGTATATATAGGTTCTCCTGCTTGAGCAAGGGGGCTAGACTAGAAGACCTCCAAGGTCCCTTACAGCTCCTATTCTCTTCTAGGGTTTTTATTTTCTGAAAAATATGATCTGGTTAAAAAAAATGATCCAAGGGAAAGCCACTTACGCCAGGATGTTGAACAGATCCTTGCTTGTCATTTGCTCTTCCAGCAAAAGGCGTAAAGAATGTTGGATATGGAAGATGTAAGAGGAATTCGTTTTGGAGATGTCAACCAGGACAACCACCCTAAAATGAAAAACCAAAAGGACTGGATTCACCACCGTGTTAATTTTTCCTTTCTTTCCCCCCTTCTTCTCCGCTTTAAGCAGCCTCGTGAGAAGAGGAAACCCTGGTTTATGGTTTATTGTAGTGGTTCATAAGCACTTTTTTTTCCCTTCATTAGACAAAACCAGAAAGTCCTTCTTTAAATATCACTGTTTCAATGGAGTGATGGCTTTGTGTGTCGTTGCCCAAAGGAAAATCACTTTGACTCAGTTGTATGTAATTTATCCAGATTTGGGAAGCATTGGTTGTGTTGGGACTCGGATAACTACAAATAGCCCCTTGACTTACAGCCACAACTGGGATTGGAATTTTGGTCATAAGTTTTATGGTTATAAATCAAGCCCCCACCTAACTGGACTCAATGTATGACCATTTTACCATGGTCATAAAACAAATCATGTCATCGTTAAGTTCTTTATCTCTATTTAACCATTGGGTATGCTTCCTTCATTTCTACTCTCATCATGTTTATCCTTTCTCAGAGTTTGTTGGAACTGGACGTGTCATACATTATAATCAATAATAATTATCGTATTTCCCCCAAAATAAATCCTAATGGACACCTAACATCAAAAGCGTCATCAAAATAGCACAACAAAGAATGTTCTTTCTGCGCCAACTCGGAAAGCTCAAACTGCCCAAGGAGCTGCTGATCCAGTTCTACAGAGGAATGATTGAGTCTGTCATCTGCACCTCTATAACTGTCTGGTTTGGTTCTGCAGCCCAACAGGACAGACACAGACTTCGGAGGATAATTAGGACTGCAGATTTTTTTTTTTACTACCAACCTGCCTTCCATGGAGGATCTGTATACTGCAGGAGTCAAAAAGAGGGCTGTGAAAATATTTACAGACCCCTCACATCCTGGCCATAAACTGTTTCAACTCCTTCCCTCAAAACAACTATGCACACCAGAACAACTAGACACAAGGACAGTTTTTCCCCGAATGCCATCACTCTGCTAAACAAATAATTCCCACAACATTGTGCAACTATTTATAAAGACTACATTACTATTAATCTTCTCATCATTCCTTATCACCCATCTCCTCCCACTTGTGACTGCATGAGTGTAACTTTGTCGCTTGTATCCTTATGATTTATATTCTATTCTATTCTGTTCTATTCCTGTTCTGTTCTATTCCTGTTCTGTTCTGTTCTGTTCTGTTCTGTTCTATTCTATTCTATTCTATTCTGTTCTGTTCTGTTCTGTTCTGTTCTGTTCTATTCTATTCTATTCTATTCTATTCTATTCTATTCTATTCTATTCTAATGGAAAAATTAATATAAGACCCAGTCTTATTTTAGGGGGAATCACGGTATTATTTTAGCACATACACGGGGAAGTTTCCCTCCTATTAAACCAGGGTGCGAAGTATTGAAAAGGGATTGATCAAGAGAAGCAGATAGAGGTAGAAATAAAAGACAAGAAGACGTCTGAAATGGATGGAAGAAAGCCCAGTCTTGGTACCTCTTTTCACAAACTGTCCCCCAAATTCCTCTGCTGGAAAGAGACAGCCAATCAATGCGTCTCTCGTACATCTTCACCATCCGGCTGAGTTGCTTCTGTGAAAAGCCAAGGAGAAAAAAACATCAGCTGAGGCTCGTGATGATGCAAACATTTCAGGCAGCAGGTTTTGGAGTTTCTTGTTGAGTCCAATTCCCAAGGAAGGGGTGGAGAAGGTGCTGCAGAATGCCCACACCATCCATGATCGGGAGGTTCTCCAATCTTCTCTATCTACAGCGTCATGGTTGCAACCGTCTTCCCTGCTCTCCTAAAATACAGATAACCCTGGACTTACAACCACCATTGGACTGTTGCTAAGCAAGGTCTTAAAAGAGTCGCCCCCAATTGTATGACCTTTTTGCCATAGTCATGAAGCAAATCACTGCAGTCGTTAAGAGAATGATGCAGTTGTTGCATAAATCTGACTCTCTCCCCCGATGGGATTTTGTGTGTCGGAATCTCACAAATGGTTGTTCTGTCCTAGGCCTTCCCAAAAAGCCATTCTGAGTCCTGGCAAAAACCTCTTTTATTACATTAATATGAATTTATTTCATTCACAGTCAGACAACAGCTTGGCAAACAGTCTTGCAAAGGTATACTAAGTAGCTCAGACCTTTATCAATCCTGGAACGCTGCCTGGTAAATAGTTCCACGCTCAGTGCTGACAGGGAAGGCCTGAGTTATATAGACAAATCTTCACGAGGCTGGAATGAACGAACGAACGGGCAAGTTGTTTCCTGCAAAAGCCCCCTCCTCTTTTGCTTCTCTTTTAATCCTGATGGGAGGGGTCATTCATCATCCACCTGTGGCCTTATGCCCATGTCGACCCTGAGTTCTTAGTTGCTCCTTCCTTTTGGTAGCTCTACACATGCACAGGCTGGGAACCGGTTTCAGAAGCTCCCCCACCTCACTGCTGTCCGAGCCCGAAGGCAGCTGATGACTGCCAGCCTGCCCTGGCTCCATTTCTGCCTCTGATACAGAGCCCTCGTCCGACACTTCCTCAGCCCTCCAGGAATGGCCTGGGTTCCTCCCCAGTCTTTTCACTACTGTCCAACTCTGTTGCCAGCTCCACAAGCCGCTGGCGGGCCACAACAGTGGTGACCATATGGTGTGTCATAAATACGTGCCAAAGGCACGGATTTTGATCATGTCATTGTGGGGATACCGCAATCATTGTAAGCGTGGGGACTGGTGGTAAATAGCGTTTTTCAGGGTTGTTGTAACTTCGAAGGACACACACACAAAAATAGTTTTAAGTCAAACTGTACCTGTATAGACATGGGATTGTGTTGTGTTGCAGTTCAGCGCTTAATTGGCTGTTTAGCTCCAAGACTAACCATGGTTAGAACGGATGATATGCAATTTATTTACCTGGTAATCGTATAATATCGGAGGATCGACGTGAACGTTTTTCACGGTCCCATCGTGCCATTCAAACTGCATCATGGCTTTCTGCAAAGAAGAGGACAGCACAACATCCCAAATCAGATTACGGGCAGTAGGACCACAATGGAGTCCAACATTGCTGTTGCTAAGTGAAACACTGAAGTGAGTTTTGCTTCGTTTTATGAGTTTTCTTGCCACGGCAAGTTAGTAACACGGCTGTCAAATTTCCCCCTTAACTTTGCTTTTCAGAAGGTAACAAAAAGGGGAATCACCTGACCACAGGACATTGCAACCTTCATGAATATGAATCCGTTGCCAAGCATCCGAATTTCATTCAGATGGGATGTTGCAACAGTCGTAAGTGTGTCCCCTTTTTTCAATCCTGTAGTAACTTTGAACAAGTCACTAAATGAACTGTTGCAAGCCGAGAACTATCTTTGTATTGTAGACTTTGGGAAGAGAGCTTACCATTAGCTGGATTCATGGGTCATACTCAGTTGTTCTGGATGAGAAATTTGAGATCAAACCTGCCAACATTTACTGGATGGTATCTTCTTTTTTTATTTATTTTTATTTATTTTTTAAAATTTTTTTATTAGTTTTTAAAAACAAACATAAACAAACAAAACATAAAAACATCAAGCTATCTTCCATATGTGTACACAAGGTAAAAAAAGAGGAGTGGTTTTATATATTAAAGAGACCACCCTAGCAAAATTGATTTATATCGATGATGATGGAAGAATACTAATGGTGGAAATAATGGACAATAATACGAAAACACTCCTGATTGCAATTTATGCTCCGAATGACAAACAAGAAGAATTCTACAAAAAATTACATATGAAAATAATTGAACTGGACTATGCTAATATAGTTATGATGGGAGATTTTAAATGGAATTGTAGACAATAAATTGGACTATACAGCACAGAAAACAATAAAGCAAAACAGAAGGACTCTCCCTAAATCTTTTTTTTAAATGGTAGATGAAATAAACTTAAAAGATACATGGAGAGAAAGAAATGCTAAAACTAAACAATACACCTTCTATTCAAATAGACACTTATCATGGTCCAGAATAGATATGATATGGATGTCAACAGAATTAATAACTAATATTCAAGAAATAAACATTGAAACAAGTACTTGGGCAGATCACAATCCAATGACAATTAAATGGAAAGGACGAAAAAGAAGATCTAGATGGACATTAAATAATACTATTTTAAAGGAAAAAGACTTCACACGTGGAGAAAGAATTGGCTTTTTTCTTTAGAGAAAACAAAAAAGAAGATACATCAATTCAGAATGTATGGGATACAATGAAGGCCTATGTTAGAGGCTTGGTAATAGACTATACAAGGAAAAGGAATACTATGAAAAGACTAGCCTCTAAGGCCAAACAATTTGTAAACCAACCGGCACACTGTATGTACACATATGGATGGTATCTTCTTGAGTTCCACTTCCCTGCTGATTCATCCCAGGAACGAGCGATTCCCACAATCCCTTGACAAGCAAACCAAATCAGCTCCCCTTTAAACTTACCCCGTGGAGCGTGGACGAGACCGTTTTTCGAAGGAGCGGCACAAATTCTTCCACAGGCGAGAAGGCGTTGGGTGCTAAGACTTGGTAAAGGCTGAGTTTCTTGGCTGCACGAAGGCAAAGAAGAACCCAGACCAGTCCAGGAACTGGTCTGAACTGGTACCGTTTCAGAGGAGGAAACTTGGGGTTCTGCCTTACCTCGCAATCCATTGGTTTTCAACCACTCCGCGGAGGATTTGGCCAAGAAGTTGGGGGTCTGGATTGCAAGGAGGCGTTCATGCTGGAAGGGTTTGGACAGTTGTACCAGAGATGTCGACCGTCTACGTCCCATTGAACTCTAAGCAGAGAAAGAGTCAACATGTCCTCTGTAAAAAAACAGCGTGTTCTTGTTCCTGTTGAATACTCTCAACAATGCAAAATTTTACATAAAGGGAGGGCTGCCACCAAGGTGATTTTTAAAATCATTTCTAAATATTTACTTCTGTTGCTCCTTTACCGCAAGTTTCATGTAATGGCGTGTGGGAATAGCCTTGGGAGACAGAAGAAAAGAGCTGCAGACTAGGCAACGATTGGATAAGAGGCGGTTAAACCCACAGCCGTGCAATTACAAGATTTCCTGGCTACAGGCACACAAATGAAGCCTCTAATCTAAAAGAAATTGGGGACTTACATTTGTCACTAAATTGAAAAGCGAGTCACCCATCTTGCCCTCGTAGATCTCGTTCACGATCTTGAGCAAACGGTCTGCTTTCTGCTGCTCAGAAAGAACCAGGTGAATATCCGTGCTGTTACAACTCTGATTAGACGATGCCAAATGGAGAGAGGGAGGGAGGTAGGGAGGGAGAAATGGAGAGAGAGAAAGGAGAGGGAGGGAGGCAGAGAAAGAGAGAGGGAGAGGGAGAGAAAGAGGGAGAGAAAGAGGGAGAGGGAGAGGGAGGGAGAGAAAGAGGAGAGAGGGAGAGAGAGAAAGAGGGGGGAAGAGAAAAAGAGGGAGAGGGAGGGAGAGGGAGAGAAAGAGAGGGAGGGAGAGAGAGGGAGGGGAGAGAAAGAGAGAAAGAGAGAGGGAGAGAGGGGTAGAGAGAGAAAGAGGAGGAAAGGAGAGAAGGAGAGAGAGAGGGAGAGAAAGAGAGAGAGGGAGAGAGAGGGAGGGGGAGAGAAAGAGAGAAGGAGAGAGAGAAAGAGAGAAAGAGAGAGAGGGAGAGAGGGAGAGAGGGAGGGGGAGAGAAAGAGAGAGGGAGAGAGAAAGAGAGAGAAAGGGAGAGAAAGAGGAGGAAAGAGGGAGAGAAAGAGAGAGAGAAGGAAAGAAGGAGAGAGAGAAAGAGAGGGCAGGAGAGAGGGAGAGAGGGGGGGAGGGAGAGAGAGAGGGAGGGAAGGAGGGAGAGATTATTGTCTTTTCTTCTGAGCATCTTTTTTTAAAAAATCACAGTTCAAACGTATTTGGAAAACTTGAGAGGCCACAAGCAGTTCTAGGGGCCTTAAAGTAACGGGCCTTCAGTCGAAAAGCCTACCTCCATTTTTCCCGAGTAGCAATGGTAACGGCCTCTCACCTCTTCCGCCAAGCTTTGGAGAATGGCCTAGAAATGGATGAAATGAACGGAAGTCAGCGGCCGTTCCCTCGGAACAGTAATTCTAATTTTATAAAGTGCCTCACCCCGGAGAGAGCGATTGAAGTGAACGTTGCCCTGTTTTACGACCTTCCTTGCCACACGTTAAGTGAATCGCAGCCGTCGCTAAGTTAGTATAATACGGGGGGTTAAGTGAACCTGGACTTGGCTTGTGAGAAGTGCTGAGCACAAAACTGTTGGGGAGCCTCTGAGCTATCTGTGCTTCCCTTCCCACAACCCCAGAGACTCACAGGAGGTGCCTCACTGCCGCAGTCGTACGCCACAGTGTGAACCAGCAACCGTCTTCCCGCCGAGCACTGTTGGATGTAATCCGACAAAATTTCTGAACCCTGGTCTGGACTGTTTTGGAAAGACAAGAAAGGAGAAAAGGATGGGTTGGGAGAGAAGGACGAGCTATAACCAGGGGTGGGATCCTGCCGGTTCTGTGTTTGCTGCCGTTTGGCCCACCTGCCCTCTCGGGCTCTTACCTGTCCTTTATTTCCTGCTTTTTCAACCTCAGCTGCTTTGCGCGTAACCGCTGAAAAAGCAGGAAAAAAAGAGGCTTTTGCAAATGCTGTGCACCCACATGCTGCACTTTTGAGCTGTCCGGGTGGCACAGCGTAAGGTTTTTTTACACGTGCGTGCAAAATGTAGTCACTGAACTGGTAGTAACACCGATTGAATGCCACCACTGGCTATAACGATGGCATAGGAAAGAGAAAACGGTCATAAAACTAGAGAATACAGGCAGTCCTTGGCTTACGACCACAACTGAGTCCAAAATTTCTATTGCTAAGTATGTTTAAATAAGTCTTGCCGAATTTTAGACCATTCTTGCCACAGTGGCTCAGTGAATCCCTGCCGTTGTTAAGTTAGTCACACGGTCATTAAGTGAATCTGGCTTTCCCCATGGACTTTACTTGTCACAAGGTCACCAAAGGTTGCCGGGACACTGCAACCATCACAAATATGAACCAGTGGCCAAGCGACTGAATTTGGATCACGTGGCCATGAGAATGCCACAACAGTCATTCAAAATAAATGACTTGTGACCATTTTTCACACTTACGACTGTTGCAGCATCCCTCCACAGTCACATGATCAAAATTCGGACGCCTGGCAACTGACTCGCATTTATGATTGGCTGCAGCGTCCCGGAATCATGCGATCCCCGTTTGAGACCTTCTGGCAAGCCAAGTTCACTTAACCATCCTGTAGGAACGGTTAAATTGAATACTTTATTTAAAAGAGGAAAATATGTTCTTATTTGGATATCACTTCTGGAATTTGTGCTTGTGAAGAGGGGAAAAAAGGTGAAACGTTGATTTTGGTTTTGTTGATTAGAAAGATATGGTGTTATAGAAAGGGCTAGTGATATATTAATGCGCGAAAGCAAAAAGTGGAGGTTGATGTTTGTCTTGTACTGTGCTACCCTGTTTCCCTGAAAATAAGATCCAACTGGAAAATAACCCCTAGCATGATTTTTCAGGATGCTCATAATACGAGGGCTATCCACAAAATAGATTACGTTTTCGTCTGTAGCAAGAAGGGGCGGAGCTAGGGCGGCCATCTTTGGTCTGTGCGTCCGCCGCTCAGTCTGCATCTAGTCGTGCTAGTGGGACGTTCGTATCGTTGCCCGTTATTTCACAGCAAACATTTGAAATGTGTGCTGCAATTGAAAATCCCTCGAGTTGTGAGGTGCGATCAGTGATAAGGTTTTTGTTGGCAAAAAACCATAAACCGATTGAAATTTTTCGGCAACTGTGTGAAGTGTACGGGGACAACATCCTCACTGAAGGTGGAGTGCGCCAATGGTGCATTAAGTTTAAAAATGGACGAACTAACGTTCATGATGAACAGCGGAGTGGACGCGTCCGAGCACTGTGACTGATGAACTGGTCGCGAAAGTCGATGACAAGATTTGTGAAAACTCGCGGGATTTTCAATTGCAGCACACATTTCAAATGTTTGCTGTGAAATAACGGGCAACGATACGAACGTCCCACTAGCACGACTAGATGCAGACTGAGCGGCGGACGCACAGACCAAAGATGGCCGCCCTAGCTCCGCCCCTTCTTGCTACAGACGAAAACGTAATCTATTTTGTGGATAGCCCTCGTATAAGCCCTACCCCCAAAAATAAGCCCCAGTTAAGATTGTCAGATAGACAGACGCATTTAGAACCATATTTTCCCGAAAATAAAATCCAACGCATCTTATATAATATATAAGACGTAATGAGACTTTTGGAGCAAAAATTAATATAAGGCGCCCGGTCTTATTTTCAGGGAAACACAGTAGGAAGAGTTGGAAGCCAATGCCCCTTTTCTTGCTTTTTCTCTTCCCCCTTGTATTTCACACCCTCTTTTCCCCGCTCCCTTTCATTCCCTTAATTTCCTACTTTTTTTTTGTATTTTATACAATAAAAAATGGAAAAAAGAACAATCCTGTCACTAGCTTAACAATCGCAGCGATTAGTTTAACAGCTGTAGCAAGAAAGGTTGTCAAAGGAGGCAAAATCCATTTAACAACTGTCTCGCACAGCAGCAGAAATTTGAGCTCAATTGTGGTCGAAGACTATCTGTACATTTAAGCCAACATTTGCCTTTCAACAGGGGAACCTACCAGGTTCCTACTATGATTGCCAGCGAATCCAGATCTCTCATCTCCAAGACTTTCTTTAAAGCTTTTAGCAAATTACAGCCTCTGGTGGGTTTCAGCTCCTGGACCCACTGCCTGGCTTCATTTAATCTAGGGAATTAAAAGACACAAGAAAAGTAAATTTTACTGCTCACCAATTTAGACACAAGCCTGGAGTTCTACGGAGTAATTAAACTGCATTTTTCCCTTTGAGTTTAATGATAATAATGTCAGGACGATCCACAAAGCACATCTCAAACGACCAATTTCCAAACAATTAAAACACTGAAAGTCAACCAGTAATGTGGTTAGTGAATTCAAAAATAAACCAGTAAATGGCAACTTTGACATGTTAAAATTAGGCAATAAAATTGTAGCAGAATGACGACAACAGAAATTCTACTAAAAGTGACCCCTGCAAACATGCACCAGTATCAATAACAATACAACCAACAGGGAATTTCAAAAAGGAAAAACGGAGGACCTACAATTCCAGGAAGAGGAACAATGATCTAAAAATTTCAGAGGCAAATAACATTCTTTCCACACGTCAACCTTAGTGAAGCGTGCAAACCAGCGTCTGCATTTCCTGCGTCGGATGAGGACAGCAAATCTTTCTCCTGCTGTCCTGGCCGCTTTTTACAAAGCCACAATGGAGAGCGTTTTAACAAACTGCATCCCTGTTTGGTTTGGTGGTGGCAGTACCTCAGATAGAAAGTCCCTACAGAGAGTGGTGAGGACAGCAGAGAAGATTATTGGAAACTCGCTTCCCATTATTGAGGATGCTGCTTATAAGCGCTATGTGCTTAGAGCCAGGGGTGGGATTCAAATTTTTTAACAACTGGTTCTGTGGGTGTGGCTTAGTTGGTAGGCGTGGCTTGGTGGTCATGTGACCGGGTCGACGTGGCTTGGTGGTCATGTTACTGGCTGGGCATGGCCAACTCAATATCACTCACATCGAGGCACGCATCTCCTCGCCTGGCCTCTCATGACTGTGGGAATGCTGCAACAGTCGTAAGTGTGAAAAATGGTCATAAGTCACTTTTTTCAGTGCCATTGTAACTTTGAATGGTCACTCCATACAAGCAAAGTACCAGCAAAGGAGGGGAAGAAAACTCCAGAGACGTTCCTGAGACAGGAAGTCTAGTCCTGCCAAGAATGCAATAAGGGTTAACAGAGAGGCAGTTTCTGTAAGCAACACCAGAATGTTTCCTTCCTGCCGTCCTTTACAGGATTAGCCCAGTAATTTCTTCTAACAACCGGTTCTCCAAAATGTTTAGAATGTTAGCAACCGGTTCTAGCGAATAGGTGCGAACTGGTAGAATCCCACCCCTGCTTAGAATTCAAAGCATTCTCAGGGACCCCACACACCCACTCTATGGTCTGTTTCTGTTGCTCCCCTCTGGGAGAAGGTTTTGAAGTATTTCTAGCAGGACTACCAGATTCTGGAATAGCTTTGTTCCCTATGCCATCCCTCTGGTAAACTTGCAAGGTTCGTTTCTGTTGAGATGTACATGTATTCATCTGGACTAGATTGTGTCGCTTCTCTGTGTCATCTAATACATATGGGTATATGCATAATTTTGTATTCATGCATTTATTTTGTCATTTTATAGTGTATTTATTATTTTGTAGGGTATATTGGAGGTGGTGACCGTTTGAGAGCTGTATGCAATGGAATTTCATTTCAAGGTATGCTGATTAGTGTACATTCAAAGTGACAATAAAGCTGTCATGCCCTGTCATAGAGTCTGAATCTGAGGAGGAAGATGAACAGCTGACAGGGAGTGGGAGTGTGGCTCTGTTGGTTGTGGAAGAAACTGGAGAAGGGCAAAGGCTGGCTGGGCAGAGCAGGGAAGAGGTAGAACAAGGGAGAAGGAATTCAGAGGAAGACCCAGGCCCTCCCCCTCTTCATCCTAGGGCACACAGGGAGGAACGGAGAAGAGAGCAACGTGGGTTGCATGGCTTAAGGGGGAGGAAAGGGCCCCGATTCCCTTCACTAGCCACAGCTGGGAAGAAAGTTTAAGAGACATGCAGGCTGCGTGAGACAGCTGCTGGGAGCAAACTTGAATTTATCTTGTGTTGACTTTAGTTATCTGTGTTCCTGGCGTCTTTCCAACCGTGTTGAGTTTTGCCGTGCCTTCACGTCTGGAATTCTTGCTCCTGCCCTGCCAAACTAATTACCCCATCTTGCCCTTGATTGGACTTATAGTTACAGTTTTTGTTGAGCACGTTTTGGATTTGATTCTCTGCAGCCAAAGGCTGTTCCTGGAAGAGTTTTTCTCCAGCCCAGAAGGTAACCAGGACATTGCGGGCAAAGTTGGAGCTAATAAAGGGACTCCTATTGATTATCTGACTGTGTTGCCTTTGTGCCACGCCCCTTTGGGTCATCACAAAAGCATTTCTAGGTGCTAAGCCTTACCGATCCCCATTGACTGTGCGCGGTTCATCCCACAGAGTTGAGATCTCAGTTCCAAACGAAATAAAGTAGAGCTTTTTCATGTATTTCAGTTGTTCGTTAATTAATGCCTGGGAGGAAAATAATCAGAGTTCAGGTTGATCTGAGCTGATCTTATAACATATGCATTATCCCCTGCAATATTGAGTGGACCAGCAGTCTATGAGGGGGTGGCTTCCCTTTTCTCCAGCCAGAAGGTAACCAGGACATTGGGGGCAAAGTTGGAACTAATAAAGGGACTCTTATTGATTAACTGATCAAATGAACCCATGATATCACGACCTGAGCTTTGTTAAATACAGGTAGTCCTTGACTTACAACAGTTCATTTGGTGACCATTTGAAGTTACAACGGGACTGAAAAAAGTGACCTCATGACCAGTTTTTACACTAACGACCGTTGCAGAATCCCTATGGTCACATGATTGTCAACTCATAAAACATTTCTATGCTTGTTTTGGAGTTGCCATGAACAGAAGGAGGGGGTGGGGGAGAAATTTGAAAGAGCAATGCAGCAGTTTGGAACCGAAAG